GAATCAAACGATCAACTGGCTTAATAACACGACCAAAGCGTGATCTCACTTGTGTGACAAGTGTAGAACTTGGTGGTACATTCACACTGTCAATTATGTGTGTGTTTGTAGGAGTATGTGAGCTGGAATGGGTAGACCAGACTGTCCCTGCGCCTGAATTCTGCACATTTGAACTGCCAGGTGCTTCATATCCAGAGACGGATATTGTCACTTCATTGGACAAATCAGAAACAAGACTTCCTGATGTAGCAGGAGTTACTGTAGTACCAGGAACTGTCAGAACTTCACTCAATGCTTGATCGGAATTAGATTGAACACATTCCTCAGGCAGGTCTGAAACCCAGCTAATAGTTCTGTCTCTGGCACTAGATTCCTGAACAGACATAGAATCCACATGGTCACAGTCATTGATGACATCATCCTGTATGGATGGAACCCTGCCTCCCATCATCACTGATCCTTCCAAGTCAACTCCATTACAGCCATCCTCTTCATCATCAGACACTTCCACATCCCTTTCTACAGGATCATTGCCAATGGCACTTGAGCAGAGGACAGAAGGTGAGTTTTGACAAGAATCAGATACAACAGACATCTGATCCGACTGAGGGATTTCTACATTCACAGGTAAGAAATTTACTACCAACAGCAGGTTCCGATGGACCACTTTTTCCTGCCCTGTAGATGGATTACGGATTCGGTAAGTATGTGTGTCTGGTCTACAATCCACTACAGTATAAACTGTTGACTCCCACCTGTCAGCGATTTTCTTTTTGCCCCTTTCAGTTTTGTTTGCCAGGAGTACTTGGTCACCTATCTCAATGATCAACCCCTTCACCTTTCGGTTGTATATCTCTGCATGTCTTCGTTGCTCTTTCGTAGCATGCTCATGTGCGATTAAGGATGCCTCTTTCAGGTCTTTTACCAGAGTGGAAACAAATTTGTCACAACTTGTTACAGTAGGATCATCCAAAACGGAACGAAAAAGAATGTCAATAGGTAAACGAGGCACCCGTCCGAACATCAGATAAAAGGGAGCATATCCTGTGGTATCGTTTATGGTGCAGTTATACAGGAATGAGAGAGTCTGCAACCGTCTAGGCCAATCTCTTTTTACATCTGGTGACAAGACTCTGATCATATTTCCAAGGGTTCTGTTAAAGCGTTCTACACTTCCATTACCCATCGGGTGATACGGTGTGGTATGTGACTTACTAACCCCAGAAACCCTTAAAAGCTCACGGATTAACTTGCTTTCGAAACATGCCCCTTGGTCACTATGGATCCGCTCTGGAAGGCCATAAACGCAAAAGTACCTGTCCCATAAAACCCTGGCAACTTGTTTGGCGGACTGGTCTCTACACACAAAGGCTTGTGCCAGTCTTGTAAAATGATCGGTTGCTACTAAAACGTCAACAGACCTGTTATTGGAATCTTCCGCTGACCAGAAGTCTATGCAGACAAGTTCTAATGGTCTACTTGTTGAAATGTTCTCCAAGGGGGCTCTTCCAGAAGGATCTGTAGTTTTGCTCACAGTGCAGCGGTAACATTTGTGTACATATTCTCTTAGAGTTCGTTCCATGTTCAGCCAAAAGAATCGCTGCCTGGCCAGGCTAATTGTCCGAGTCTGTCCTTGATGGCCACAATCATCATGGATTCCTTTCAGAATCACTTCTATCAGGGACTCAGGGACAACATACTGATAGCGTTTTGTTTTGGACAGTTGATCACGAGACACTCTGTATAACACACCATTCCTGACAACCAGTTTCTCCCAGTGCTTCAGATATCGAACAACAGCCACTGACTCCTTCATTCTTTCTCTTCTAGAAGGTCTACGGAGGCGCTCAACATAATAGAAGACTCTAGACAAGTGCTTATCACTGAGTTGTTTTTCACGCAGCTCTTGTTCAGTATATGCTGGCAGTGTATCCTGTCCCACTGACATCACTTGAGGTAGGTGATCGATGGAAGTCATGGCTCGAGCCTTAGCACCAATGTTCCACTCTAAATGTGAATCTATTATGGCAGAGACCTCATCCCTAGGAATCATCATCATCAGTTCATCCATTTTTTGAATGTTGTGACTATACATTTGTTTCGCGTTAAGGACACTTTGCCTTTCTCCTGAATCACTTGAAATCCTAAAGGCATCCTGCACTGAACCTGTTGACATTCCTCTAGACTCAGCTAGAAGGGCACCATAAGGCTCCTTGAGCAGTCTCTGTACAATCTCAACTTTGACAAATGGAACCCGGCTTAGGGCATCCGCGACAATGTTTTGGGGACCAGGCACATACTTGATGTTAAAGTTGAAGCTTGCCAGTTTAGCCACCCAGCGCTGTTCACAGCAATCAAGTTTGGGTTTTGTAAGGATATGGGCTAAAGGATTGTTGTCAGTGAAGACAGTGAATTCATGGCCCTTCAGCCAATGACTGAATTTATCGCATATAGACCACTTCAAGGCCAAAAACTCCAAACGATGTGCTGGATAGTTTTGCTGTGAGCGAGAAAGGGACTTACTGGCAAAAGCCACTGGCCTGGCCTTGATCTCCCCCTCTGGAACCTGTGAGAGCACAGCTCCAATCCCGTCTAAGGATGCATCCGTTGCAAGCACGAAAGGGCGATTAAAATCCGGATGGGCAAGGACGACGCTTTCGACCAACAATGTTTTCAACTTCTCAACAGCCTGGACCTGAGCTTCTGTCCAGTCACTGGGTTTCAGTTTTTTATTTGAACTAACATTACCCCGTTTCCCTGGAATTCTTGCTTTTGCCTTCTGTCCTTTCAAAAGACTATAAAGAGGCTTTGCAACTGCTGAATAACTTGGAATGAAGTGTTGGTAGTAATTCACCATCCCCAGAAATGATCTTATTTTCTTCTGAGAAGGAGTTACTCCATCTTGCTCCATCAAGTCCAAACTGCTCATTTTAGAGATGCTCTCAACTTTGCTTGGGTCTGTGGAAACACCAGTCTGATCAATTATGTGTCCAAGGAACTTCACTGATCGTCTCATAAGGTGACATTTTTTTTGGAGCTAGTTTAAGATTGTACTTGCGGAGCCTGCCAAACACCATTTCCAAGCGATCCAGAGCAGTCCTTTCATCTGGGCCAAAAACAATCAAGTCATCCAGGTAACACAAGAGACTGAGGAAGTTTTCATCCCCAAATATACTGGTCATCATACGCATGAAGCTCCCAGGACTGTTGCAGAGGCCTTGAGGTAAGCGATTATACTCAAAAAGGCCCATGGGTGTCGTAAAAGCGGTAAACTTGCGGTCTTCTTCGTGCAATGACATGTTATAAAATCCGGACGTTAAATCCATTGTGCTGAATAAAACATTTCCGCCCAGAGCTGCCAAACAATCCGCCTGATGCGGAAGAGGATGTGCATCCTTCAATGTCCGTCTGTTTAACCAGCGGAAATCTGTGCATATCCGCAGGTCCCCATTTTTTTTCCAGACCAAAACGAGAGGAGAAGCATACTCACTGGTGGATCGCCTAATTATTTCCTTTTCCTCCATTTCAGTCAATACTTGTCGGAGTTTTTGATACTGACTGGGTGCTACTCGTCTGAATGGCAGCCTGAATGGTCTGGTGTCTGTGAGATGTATCCTGTGGACGAAGCCTTCTGCTTTCCCACAATCAAGATGGCTACGAGAAAAAACATCTTTGTAACTCAGAATCAAATTAACTAGCCGCTGCTTACATTCATCTGAAATGTCACATGAGTCAATGTCTAGACTGTCCAGATTAACTGACTTGAGTTGCTCACTCACAGGTAACACATCCGCTGATTCATTGGATAATCTTGTTGTGCAGTTTGCTAATGAAGGACTGACAGTATCAGAATGATCAAAATCCTCAAGTGCAATGCATGGATAGAGATCTGCAACTTTGGCGTTTCTCTTTAATAACACAGGTCTGCCTGACGTGTTGATGAGCTTTAAGGGGACCCATCCATCTCCCCACAGAGACGTGACTAGTCTAGCCACCATGACACCTCTGGGAGCAGAGTGAGAAGATGTTGGCTCAGTCATAACTGCACTCCCTGGAGACAGAACCACATTTCTAGGCAATTTTCCCCATATCAAATACTCACAGCCTGGTTCAAGACAAACAGCTGAGTTGCATCTTACTGTTCCCAATTTCTCAGGTATGTCCTCTCCTCTCCAACGGTTCAATCCAGCCAGCATTGCCAAGAAGCTTTCACACTCTGGGTCTGAGGAAGTTGGTCTAGATACTGCTTGCCAAAATCCATCACTCAATTTGAAGTATTTGAGAATGTGTTTAATAACATTAGTTCCAAGTATCACCTCATCATGTTGTCCAGGAACAACTAAGGTAGGAACTATCATCTTTATACCATAAACTTCCATGGTAAGGTTAAATGACGATTTTGGTTTCACATGCAGCCCTCCACAGCCTACCAGGGTAACATCACAACAAACTCATCACATTCATTTACTGCACCGGCTGATCTTAGAGTCTTCTCAGCAGATTCATTTATAGTGCAGGCCATTGAACCGCTATCCAACATTGCATTCATTGTAACCACCTCTCCAATCTTCACTGGCGTGTAAAAGAGACTGTCATGTCCACCAACAACATTTGTATTCTGGTAAATGATTTTTGAATTTTCACAGTTCACTTCGGCTGAAAGATTAGCAATTTGAGTCTCAAAATCATTAGCAACTTGGGAGTAATACTGGAGATGACCCGCACTGCCTCCCTCCAAATACGGGTCTATTAGTTTCCCTCCTGTGGTGACTGGACAGGGGGTTGTTTTGGGCACTTGTTTTTATTGTGCCCTGGGGAGAAGCACGCAAAACACAGTTTGTCCATCATGCAATGAGTCACAGTGGTGTGTTTACTGTCATTACAGACCCGGCAAGCAGTTCTGACAAAGTTGCGCCGCTGTCTGGAGTCACGCCTGGTGTTGGAGACATCACGTTCTTGCACTTTATCCATGAGCCGCTCCATCATCTCAACCATGCGAGTCAACAACTGATTTTCACTGGTTGGGTGGATTGAGCCATCATTGGAGCAGGAGGCGAGCAGGAAGAGGTTTGATGCTGTGACTGGCAGGAAATTTGTGTAGGTCCTGGCTGGTGGCAAACTTGAGTATCTGTAGACAAGCAGAATGTTTGCTTTGGAACAACAGGTGACTCCGTCTTGGAGTGATCATACATATCATGTCCACTGCTAAACATTGTAGTCGTGTGGCTTCGTAAATTTATACTAGTATTTCCTCTGCTCCTGAATTCTCTTTGGTAATCATCAATTCTGCATTGTATTTCTTTTGCATTCCATTCTTGAATGGGCTTGCATCTAAACATGTTTGATAAACAGGGGTCAGGGCAGAATTTAATGAACATCCTTGTTACCTCCTCTTCGATGTTGTCCAAATGCTTTCCTTGCCTTAACAGCCCCTCATTTGCCAGGTCAGCTGCTTTGTTCAGCCGGATCCAGTAATCTACAGGATTCTCTTTAGGTCCTGGGAGGGTGGCATAAAAATCAGCAAGTGGCAGGCAGGAGGGGGCTTCACTAAAATACTTCATGAGGATACTATAAATCAGCTCAGGCTTTGCTGTGACATTAAGTGTAGCATCACTGCGTATACTGATTTTAACAATGTCCTTTGCCTTTCCAGCCAGCCTACACATTATCTCCTCCGCTTGATCTTGAATCGGGCACATTTGTCTTCTCAGGAAAGACTTTGTCCGGTCTACCCACTCCTCAATGCCATACTTATCAGAGCCATCACCCCTAAATGTGTCGTGCTCTGACTTCATGTGTACTGTTAATTGTGGTGTCATCAATGTATGTGTACTCTGTTCTGTGTGTGTTGGTGTCTGAGTATAGCTGGATGAGCTGGTCTGACCCTCAGCATTTACATTACCCAAACCTGCAGACATCAGTTTTGCTACTATTGACTCACCAATTTGTGAACCCAATTGGCCTATCATGTCTGTAAGATGGTCAATGGCTACTCCATCCACTCCAGGTGTTGAAGTGTAGGGACCCTCACAAGCAACCCTCCCAACTGGCGTACTATTCACAGTTCGATTTAAACCCCTGCCATGGGCAGCTTGGAACTGTGACTGTCCAACCCTCTGGCTGATACCATCACTAAAAACACCACCCTCTGAACTGTCAATTAACCATGCACCTCTACCCCGAGGAGTACCCATGTTATATGTTAAGTCTAAATCGTTATAATAGTTGTGTTTTTCAGCCATCTCGTCGTCAAAATTGCAGTTAGACAGAAAAAACTGACCACAAATAAACAATTATAGCAACAGCATTAAATATGGCACTACTTGCAAATATATTTGAATATAACTGTAGTCAAATATTGTCTAAAAGTAAAAAAAACAAATTTTTCATATGTCCATGCGTTGTGTTTTCAAAAAAAAAAAACGTGTGAAAAATAAAATGTGTTGTGAAAAATAGTGTATTGTCCCAATCACAGTGTGTGCATGTGTAAATACTGTTCACGTCTGAAGAAACGAAGGCTTGATCCGCTGATGAACTTGACACACGCAGCAATCACGGTCGATCTGTTTTGAACTGATCGGGGAATCCAAAAGAGTCACGGCACCAGTGTAACGGGTGTCCCATCAGCAACACACCCGTCCATAATAACTCAGGTCTTGGACACAATAAAGGAAGCCATCCACCATTGCACTCAATCAGATTTATTCACTCCGTCTGAGATAAAACTGAGATAAAACAAAGACATGTAATGCAGGAAAGTGCAGCATTAACATTCAGCTCTCTCTCTTTCACAGTCACACCGATCTCTGTGAATGTACATTTTCTTAAACTCAAAAACATAACATATAAAAATTTATAAACAACATACCTGAGATAAAACAAAGACATGTAATGCAGGAAAGTGCAGCATTAACATTCAGCTCTCTCTCTAAAAGGGAAAAATACAAAAACTCTCTCGTTGGGATCTTGTATACAACTTTAAAATGCATTAGCAATGTAATGCTTCAGCTAGCAACACACAAATCATCTAAATCGTAAAAAAAATAAACATTAGGAAATCAAAACATGAACTAGTGTATTATTTAAACAACATACACATCTGTTTCACTCGATGAAATTATATAAAATTGTTTATATCATCCCTTTTTAATTAGTTTGCGAGAGAGAGAGACGAGCTGCGCTTACCTTTCACAGTCACACCGATCTCTGTGAACCTACGGTAAGCACAAAGGGACAATATTCTCCTGCAATTTATTTACCACAAGGGGGCACTCAAACACCATCTTATGTATAATGCCTAATTTCATGTCATTCACTCTGATGAATTATATCATCTTATCTTTTCAACTTCGTTACATATGCATATTAAACTGTTGTTGGAGACCCTTACAACCAAAACATGACCCTATTTCATGTATAATATGGGCTCTTTAAAATAAGGACATTTCCAATTCAGTTTCTAATTACACTATCACATCTTTTTTTAAGAAAACAGCTGCTTTAGAACTTCAAATGTTCAACAACCCTAACAGTATTATGTCTTAACAATAAAAATAAAAAATAAAAAAACTACTTAAATGAGGATCAAAGCCAGGTCCGCAGTGTCGTAACCTAACGTGCTAACCATTGGACCACAACAGCTGTGCAATAAGTGGTGGCTCGTCTAACTTTTATCATCATTAACCAGGCTGCGAGAAAATAGATAAAAAGAGCAGAGTTGCAGTAAAATAATCAATAAGAAGTAAAAAAAATAAATAATTAATTTAAAAAGTGTGACTGCTGAGAGCAACAGATTCTGGAGCTAGGGACACCGGCCCTCGCGGCCAAAAAACGGACCGGCCCACCGGGAATTCTCCCGGTCCTCCCGATTAGCCAATCCGGGCCTGGCCAGCACCTAAGCTTTTCACTCATCATAGCACACGTGCTGCTGCTGATGTGACAATAAAAGTGATTTGATTTGATTTCAAGTTTCATGAACATGAATGTTTCTAAGATTCTCTACTCCTATGATTCACACAGGTACAATCCCAAAATGGCAGCAGTAGTCAACTTAGAAAACAATAGAAAAAAAAGAAAGTGGAGCAAGTTTTCAGATATCAAGATTGACAAAGAGGTGACAATGTTTGTTTAAACCTTGTCTGTTCTGCTTGGCACTGAAGTAAAATTTGTCTTTAACACTGGTGACATACAACCATACAGCAATCATGTATTGGCAACACTCAAGATAACCGCATGTATTAAAAACTTAAAAACATATTAGCCCCATGCATATTACTGTATTGTTAACAACCGTACCATTCACATTAAACAGTAATTTGATTTCATACGACAACTGGTGTAAATGACTTTTTATAAGCATTTCTCCGGGATTTTTCGATGGTAACATTTCAAATGATGGTTGAAGGATATGTGTTAATCGCAATTACCTTTTTTCATGGAGGAGTCAAATCAATTCTGCAGCCAATGTTGTTTGTTATCAAATTTGCCTGATTGATAATTAGCAATAATTTCTTCTTCTTAGTGTTGTGCTACCAAACCATGAAACAATGTTATATGTGAGAACATTCTACTAATAATCTATATGCCATGTTTAAACATTTATATTTTATATTACATCATAATTATTATATATTAAATATTATATATTTATATTTTTTAAGGACACACTGGTCTCTTCATTACCTGGCTGGCACATTTTAGAGCTCTTTCCCTTCGACGGACTGAAGTGTCACTTTGCAGAGAAAGTTGCGAGGTCCATTGAGCTCGCGTTATAGCCTGAGAAATTGAAAACAGACGTAGCAGCCTTAGGTGTCAGTCTGTTGGTGCAACGACTGACTAATTTTTCTGACTCAAAGATCTTCTCAGTGTAATCATCCTCCAAAAAATGGTCACTGCATACTGCAAACTACATTCTCCAATCTTCTATTGTCCAATTTTGGTGAGCCTGTGTGAATTGTAGCCTCAGTTTCCTGTTCTTAGCTGACAGGAGTGGCACCTGATGTGGTCTTCTGCTGCTGTAGCCCATCCGCCTCAAGGTTGGACATGCTGTGCGTTCAGAGATGCTCTTCTGCAGATCTCGCCTGTAACGAGTGCTTATTTGAGTTACTGTTGCCTTTCTATCAGCTGGAACCAGTCTGGCCATTCTCCTCTGACCTCTGGCATCAACAAGGCATTTGCGCCCACGGAACTGCCACTTACTGGATATTTTCTTGTTTTTGCACCATTCTCTGTAAACCCTAAAGACGGTTTTGCTTGGAAATCCCAGTAGATCAGCAGTTCTGAAATACTCAGACCAGCCCATCTGGCACTAACAACCACGCCACGTTCATTCACATTGCTCTGTTGAATTGCAGAAGATTGTCTTGACCATGTCTTTATGCCTAAATGCATTGATTTGCTGCCATGCGATTGGCTGATTAGAAATTTGCTTTAACAAACAGTTGGACGGGTGTACCTAATAAAGTGGCCGGTGAGTGTGTATGAATGTGTGTGTGTGTGTGTGTGTGTGTGTGTTATGCTTCCCATGTTTTCTCTCATTTGTGTTCTGTTGAATGTCAATGAAAGTGTTTCTGCAGACTGTTTTTGTCAAGTCTGATTAAAAAAAACAACAATTAATTCATGTTTACCATCAGATTCATTCATTCATTTTTTTTTTTCAGCTTAGATATTATTCAGGGGTCGCCACAGTGGAATGAATTACCAACTTATTCAACATATGTTTTACGGTGATGTATTATAAATATTGTGATTCGTCTGTTTCCTCTTCAGGTGAAAGAAATCAAGTATTTTGAAATATATGAGTTGTGTTATTGTTATTATGAGTTAATATTGTTATTATTGTTATATGAGTTGGAGCTGTTTGACTACAAATACTTTAAATATATAGTGAAATTAAATAAAAAAAAGTTATTAAATTATAATCCGTTTTGTGTGTCAATTCTACAACAATTCAGATCAACTTCACATCTCATGAATACGTTTGACTTTTGAAAGTCATTGAAAGACAGATTGCTGATCAAATATGTTTAAAGTTGATGTTTTCATATCGATCAAAGGTGTTAAAAGTAAAAATGTGATTATTTACTCCATCTGCAGGGCTAGTTGTAACAGACAGAGGGTTTGTTGTAACACTTGCTGGATTTAAATTTAGTTTAGATTATGAAGTATATGTCCTCAGTACTTAACTCTACATTTTAAGTTAACATAGCACAATATGCTATATGTCTATATATTTATTAACCCTTAATTGGCCCACAGGGTCAGAGCTTCCTATTTTTGTTTACTGTAAATGTTCCCTTTATCTTAGGAGCATGAAGCTCTCCAACTACCCTAAACAAATCTCCAAACACAAAAAAAAACTGAAGTTGATTTGGTTGTTTTAAAGGTGTGTAAGAAAAATTTAAATCACTGTTAGGTAGAAATGTGAAACCCATTATAAATCTGGAATGTCTTACATTTCTGCACACAGGCACAAACACACACTAGTATGACTGCAACAGAGAACATTTTTATAAAAATTGGCAAAAACAAATCTAATAAAAATCTGAAAAATGTTTATAAATGAAAGACTAACTAATACTAAAGCAAAAAAATCAACATGGAGTGTGTGTCACACACACACACACACACACACACACACACACACACACACACACACACACACACACACACACACACACACACACACACACACTCACAGAGTTATCTGAGACTTTTATTTTGGCACATTGAAATTGGCTGTTGTTTGTAAAGAGCAAACAATTAAAAATATATCAGCAACAATAACCATAAGTACAAAAAGCTGAATTTTAATGTATTTGTAGAATGATAAAGTCCATTTGGTAAATATATATCATCAGTTTAAGGAAATAATTTCTAAAGCGTCAAGAAATGTAAACTGAAATGAATAGGTGTCTGAGGTGTCTGCTGGATATATGTGGAAATTGCAACTTTTTTCCTCTAGCCTTATAGATGGCGGTATTTTATTTGTAAAATACAAACCAACATTCAGAAACCTTGTATATTAAATTAAGGTAAGAGTTTTAGTAATTTTAACATGAAAATTAAACGAAAACTATGGTTTATTTGAATGCCTTGGAATGGCTATAAACCTCCTCATTGACACGTGTATTTATAAAACACGTAGGTCATCCCAGCACTAAGAACCTAGTTTTCTAATTAACAAGCAATAAATTAATTACATTTCAATGCAATTCATACTATTAGTGAACTATTAACTGTGACTTTTTTTACTTTAATAAACTTTCAATTTGCTGTGTGTTCGCCTTTATTAGTCAGCTTTATTTAATTCAAATGTATGTATTTTGAAAATAAACACGCCTAGAGACGCCATTCTAAATGTTCCATAAGTGACGCCACTCGGCAAACCGATCTTCAGTTCAGTGATTATCAAGCTAGTGAAAGGATTGTCATTTGAGCGCGTTTACAGAGTTTCGATGAATTTACCGATTTACCAATCATCTGTCGACTTAAAACACTCGATGAGTGAACTACAACACTTTATGAGTAAAAACACGATGCCTGTATTTGACCACGCGATGGCAGTAACAGCATCTGTGTGTAGTGAAATGGAGAAAGCAGAGACGGGTTTGTGGCAGGACACAAACGGCTTTTGCGACGACTTCTGTCCCTGGATTGACCAGGTGGACGGGACTGTGGTTTCAGAGGCCGCTACAGCACTTCACAAGCCCTCTACTGCTAATAAAGTGGAGGGAAATGCAACCGGTGAGATTATAAGCAAACACTCAACATTTATAATCTGTTAAAATCATTTAAAAATCAAGGATAGAGATATATGCAAATATTGAGGCTTTAAAATAAATGTATAAATGAAAAAAGACACATTACATGAAACAATAATGAGAAATGATCAATAATGGGTTTTAAATAGACTTTGGGATTAGAAACAGTTGCCCTGTGAGGTAAATTGTCAAAAAGTGAGAGTTGTTTTTCACTGGGCTTAGCCAAAACAATGAATCCACATTGACACTGAAAAAGACATTTAGCTGCTCTTAGTACAAGTATTTTGAGAAAATCCGCTTCTTCATAATTTGGGACACTCAAAAGAATAAAAAAAACTGAACATTGTCAGATAAAACATTACAATGAGATAGTTTTAATGCATTTATTATAGACATGATGCAACTTTTCCCATAACACTATGTCTAGAAATTAATTTATGCTCCTTAAAAGGTCCCGTGAAATTTGGATAATGTATTTTTAACACATTAGCATCAGTATGCTAGACTTAAGGATATCTATAAGCTAGTGTGGAACAAAAAAGTAACACAATTCACATTTACAAGATAAAAACATGTAAAGCTTGCAGTTTGTCAC